GGGGGCAAAAAGGAAATTTTACGAAGAAGATTGGAAAAGAAGATGAGAAAAAGGACTCAATTGAAGAAATGAAAAGTTAGAGGGGTGAAATGCAAAGTCTAGCCCAGAACCCATCAAACCCAATCCAAAACCCACCAAACTCAAACCCAATTACTCAAAACCCAAAAACAAAACCCAAAGCCCAGTTAACAAAAAAAAAAAGAAAAAAGAAATGGATCTGGAACCTTCTTCCTCCTCGCCCGAATTTCTCCTTTTCCTTCCCTCCCCAAAACCAGCCAACAGCTTCCTCCCAAACCAGCCGGCGGCCACGTGCCCAGCCATCACCATGCCCTACTCCCCCTCTCACCGAGCCTGTGCCCCTACCCCCCCTTTTGCGCGAACCAGCTCCCTCTGCTCTCTGCGCCCAATCACCAGCCCTGCACTGAGCCCGCCTGCTGCACCAGCTCTGCACGCCCGAGCCATCATCGCCCCTCGCACGCCCGGCCTTGCTCTACCCTACCCCCTGCCACACCTGCGCCTCTGCTGCTGCACTGAACGAGCCCTGCACTGAGCCCGCCTGCTGCACCAGCTCTGCACGTCCCCTGCCTTCTGCACACCCCTACTCTGCACCAACCATGCGCCTTGCTTGCTGCGCGCCCCTACGCTGCTGCATCCCTACACTGATTACCCCCTCTTGCTTCCTGCTTCGCTGTGTTGATCTGCACTCATCACTCACCTCTTCCCCGAACCAATCGCCAGCCGGTCTGCACTCATCACCTTGCCTCTTCCCCGAACCAATCACTTGCGCCCAATCGTGCAATCCCTGGCTGCAACGCAATCCTGCAACCCGATCTGGTACCTGCTCTGGTTGTCCGATTCTCCTTGGCAGCAAGATGAAGCTCGGTCCTTGAGGGGTATAAATAGAGGGTTTTGGTTAGAAGGAAGGGGGTTTTTTTTTCCTGGCTTGTTTTTAAAGGTGGTGTGGTGTTGACGCAAGGAGAACATTTTTTGGAGGTCGACGGTGATTGAAAAGAGGCTTATTTTTCTGCGTCTGTTTCTTGTGCCTTAGGTAATTTCTGAACAGAGGAATTTTTGGGAAGAGCCGTGAGGGAGAAGAAGGGAGCTTGATCCCGTGGGTGGGATCCCTTCCTTCGGATCTCAATCTACTTTTTTCCCAGAAATTTCACCTTGTTTGATTTTGATTCTCATAGAGTTTTGCTTGATTAAAACTGTACTAGATGATGATACTGCAATTGAAATCAAGCATTTTTGTTGAATTTCATGGATCCAAATTGGAATGGATGTTTACTTGCTTTCTTTGTTCTGTTCTGTTGGATGGCCGAATAGAAAATCCAGAGCCTTTCTGTTTCTGTCCGGATTTCATTTTGGTCTAGCTTTTAATCTGTTTTTGCCCACTTTGGTTGGTGGGTTCGTGTTTTTGGGTGGATCAATCCGACCCAATCCAATAAAAAAAAACTAAAAAGGTTAAAAAGTAAAAAAATCAAAAGTTATCTCTTTTATTTCAATTTCGCACAATCTTTTCATGTTTAAGCACTTTAGTCCAAAAGTTTTAAACTTTTTCAAATCAGTCTTCTATCTTTTTTATTTTAATCAAATCAGTCCATTTAAATTTTATTTGTGTTTATTGTGCATGCGTGTTTTTGATTGTCTATTTCAGTCCAAAATTTTAAAAAAAAAATGTTTTGATTCGGTTTATCTCTTTTTCAAGTTTGTCTTTTAAGACTCAAACATAAATATAATAAATAAGTTGAATTAAAATCTCAATTTTAAAGTATGCAACCGTGTTTGAACGGAGGATTGTGAGGTGCGTGTATGCCCTTCCTCGCTTCTAACTGAACCTCCGAACCTCGATCTCTATGCAGACCCATTTTAGGTGACTTGTCCCACCTTATAATTTGAACGAGTGGCGACTCCCTCTTTTTTTATATTTTCACACTTGATTTTTCAATTTATTTTGAAAAAAATCTTAAGTGGTCGTCAACACAAATAACTCAAAAATCCCACTCAAATGTCAAATTCTTGTCATATAAGCGTGACATGGCAATATTTTACCAGCCAAGCTGGTGTGTCCCAAACGGCAATTAAGCCAGGTAACGGAGTCCCAAACGGCAGTTAAGTTGTCATAAGAATAAGGGTTTAATTGCTTTGATCCTAGAGTTCAAGGGCTTAAATGCATCAATTAAAGTTTGGGGGCTTAATAACCATTCTGGGGTTAGTTTAGGGGCTTAACTTATGGTTTTGCCAAAAAATTAATTTTTTTAAATAAAAAGATATACATCATCGGTTACGTAATTCACGCGCAATTCCTATCTTTAAATCGCATCTCCTCTATTTTTTTCTTTACCTGACACTTCTGTTTCTGTTTTTCTTTTTTACCATTATTGCCCAATGAAAATATTTAATACAGATTTGATAGATTAGGTACCTCAAACCTAACGCGTTCCGCCCTAAAAAAAAAGTACATCTAACGTGTAAATAGCTCTGGACCACTATTGTCGTTAAATTATAGATGCGACCGTCCATCGCCAAAACGGAGTTTCTTTTTCTTGGAGATTTGAAGCCGATCCGATGGTTCCAGAAAACGCAGATTTGGATGGCTGAGGGCGGTGGCGGTGGAGTGACGGCGGTGTCCTTCTTTCAAGGGTCCGACTTGCACAGATACGTTCTAGCTCAGGTTATTTCCTCCTCATCTTATGCTTGTATTATTATTTTTTTTTCGTTTAATGATAAAAAAAGTGATGTTTTGGTGTTGTTGTTGGAGACTTGGAGGTGTAGATTTAAATTATGTTTTTCTGAGTTGTAGATCTGGAAGTGCGCTAACGTTATTAAGGAGTGCAAATGAAAATAATAATAATAATAATAATAAACCATTTATCCAGATCTATTTTATGCAGATCTTTGGAGAGCATATTCAGATCAGTTGGAGCGAGACGGTGGCATCCTTTCAAAGCTTCAACTTCGAATCAGGCGTTATTGTTGGAGATCTAGAGGGTCAGATGATTGGATCTATTTTCTTTTTTCAAGATTTGATAACTCATCAATCTTTGGTGCTGTTCCTTGTCAGATCAGTGGAGCCGAGACGGTACGTAACCTCCTTTAAAGGCTTCTAAAATATTGAACCTGTGTTGTCTGCTGAAGTTTCTGCAAAATTTGTGTTACTTTTTTTTTTTGTTTTTGTTTTTTATTGAACACTTGTGTTGGATGTTACCTCTACCCTGCCATTTACTGAATCTATTTTAGGTTTATAGCTAGAGGAACAGGAAAAGAAAAGTTAAAGAAAGACAAGAAACGGAGGAGAGCAATTAAAGTTACATTAGAGCAGATGGTTTGCATTAAGCTTTTTACTAATCTATTTATATTATTATATATTATTATTTTGTATAAATATATATAATTAGTGTGTGTATATATTTATATATATAAAAACTATCTTGCAGTCGGTACTGTGACGATCTCTAAGATCAAGACCATCGAAAGGGGTGAGCTCCCTAATATTAAGCCCACCTCCCCCTCCTCTTGATAGTCCTGATCTTGCAGCCCGCCTTGTGGCGGACTGCAAAGCAGAAACCTCTATTTATTTTTATATATATATAAAATGCTATTCCTTGCGTTAATTAGCCACTAATGATAAAATATTTTTATGATAAAAAATTTTAAAATAAAATATAGCAATAAATATACTTATTAATAATATTTGTTTAACCTTTTTATCTGTTCATCTTCATGCCTGTTGCTCATTGTTTTAGTAGTTTTAATTATTTTATATTATTAATTTTCATTATATATTTTCATTTTATATATATATATATATGATGCAACCGAAGGAAAAGGAAGATGAATAGACATCCAATTTTTATGGGAAGTAAGAGCTTAAAATTACAATACATGGTAATTATTTTTGCTGATTACAATTATTTAAAAATGCATGTGTTTGAGTCTTTTGACTTTTTTTATTTATTCAAGATACATCAATTCCTTTTGATTTTGATTTTCTATAAAGTTATTTGAGCATAACATTTTGCTCAAATTTTTAAGATTTAAGTAGATATAATTCATTCTATTATTTCAGCACTAATCTATGCATATCAATCCTAATTTCATGCAGTCTCAATTCGAAAATATCATTTTTTAATAAATATTTTAAAAAATCAATTATTAGATTTAATATTCTATTTATGTAGATCATATATATTACTTTTCAAACTAACTGAACATATCTAAGTAATTCAATAATTAGAAAAAAAATTAATTTTGCTAAATATATATTAAAACTTATAGTTTTTTTATTAAATGAAAATAAATTTTAGATCAACTTAAAAATTGATATGCATAATAGATATAAATAAATAGATAGATCATTTGATCCATCAACTTTTTAAAAAAAAATATTTATTTGATAATGATGCTTTTAAATTAGAAGTCCATAGAGTTGGAACTAATATACACTTCTATGAATGTTTATATGTCTTGTATGTATGTATATATGTATGTATGTATATATATATATATATATGATAATAGTGTATATTAGTCTTGATATAAAAAAAATAAAAAAAAGTCCCAAATTTGAATGATGTCATTTCATTTGATTAAAACCCAATTCAAAATTTAGAAAATTATCTTATTAAATATTGATATTTAGATTTAGAAACTGATTATATTAAATTCCCTTTAGTATAGTTGTAACTTTAAGTTTTTAGTTTTGATTTTCAAAATTTTAGAAACCCTATAATAAAATTAAGTAGTTCTATAAATTAGTTAAGCTTGAAGTTTTGAATATTTGTTTTAAAATTTTATACCTAATAACTTAGTAATTTTGATTTTTAATTGTTCATTTTGATTGTTTGAATTTTGAAAACCAGAAATTGAAAACCACAACCATAGCAAGTGGAATCTTAGAGTATATAGTTAGTTTCCAAATCTAGGTATCAACATTTAATAAGGTGGATTTCAAAATTTTGTATTAGATTTTAATTATACGAAATAACATTGGGACTCTTTTATTTTTTATTTTTTGGTCAAGATCGATACACATTATTTTATATAGGGTTCCTTATTTTGCAGTGCTTATAACTACCATATTTCAATCGAAGCCTATTATTACCTTGGAATGGGAAGACGATGAAATGCAAACAGTTTGTGATGAAGACAGAAACAAACTTCTGTTTCTCAATAGAAACCTTTTTCTTTTATCATCTTTCAATTGTTATCTTTTCTAACATACACACCAAATTTTCTATATCCTATCAGCATTCAGGAAATAATATTTTGTTAGTAAATTGAATCCAATATCATTTTGTTAATTAGTAGAATGAATCTAAGAATGCACGAGTAGTTGAGAGTGCTTCATGAGAAATTGGAGTAGAAGCTCATTTATCTGTAGTTAAGTAGCGATGCTGTTTTGAATGTATTTTTACCTCTACTACATAAGCCAAATGCTCCATTCAAGGCCTAGGCTACAGCCTTTGTGTGATCAGAAGTGCAATACCATAACAGGGCTAGTTGCCTTTTAAATGGGAATATCATGATTGTTTAAGGTTCAGCATGCTGTGTTACATAGAATTCCATATTCACATGCTGACACAATATTCACATTTGTGCCTAGCAGGTTGGTAGAAAAGGGTCTTACAAAATGTCCTTAAACTTTGCAACTGTGGCACAAAGCTAGCTGAAATTAACTTCGGATATAGTGGAGGCAGCACTATATGGTCCTGATTTTGCTAAGATTCTTGCTTCCAGATAAACCTTACGATGACAACTTTTTTTGTAACTACATCATCTACAAGTTGCTCAGCTGTCTCAAAAGCCTTAGTTATTGCTTCTGGGCAACATTCAGAAATGCCAAGTGCAATTTTGAATCTTTTCAGAGTAAATTGGCAAACTACATGTGTGAGGACATTATCAGCAATGTCAGCCAACAGGCGAGACCCAGCAGGACCCCAAACAGGCACTGAACCTTTTTGTAGGCTGGAGGCTCCCAAAAAGGTTGGCTACAGACTTTTTTTTTCTTCTTCTTGTGGGTCTTTTGGTTTATAAGTTCTTAAATATCCTTGGGAAAAAAAATGTCTTTTTCTAGAATTCTTGTTCTGAGTTTTTTTAGTGTAGAAGCTGCCCACTGAAACATTATATTTTCTTATTATTTGGAGAACTTATAGGCAGTAGAAGCAATAAAGTTCAGTTTTATAACCAACCAATTTATAAATTCCTTTTGAGTAATAAAATGAGTGGTCCTATCTTTTTATTGGCTACAGATAAACTTTGCAATAATGCCTCCATAGCTCCACCACTGTCTAGTGTAGGCTTGTAGCCACATCTGTTCCACAATCAAGTGTCACTGCATCATCAGTGCCATCTCAAAAATAGTTAATAGAGGAATACCCTCAGCAAAAGGTGCTGGAAAAGCTTCTTGTAAATCAACTTAGCCAAGAGGATAAGGGTCTACTCAACTCATAGTTCAAAGAGGTGACGGCTTGCAATATAAA